TTTTTTTTTTTTTTTTTTTGCTTTTATGGCTGGCTCCAACTGTATTCTTTTTGCAATGCCTTGCAAAAAAAAAAAGTTGCTTCTTGAAATTTTTCACATTTTGTCATCCTAATAGAAAACTCTAATGTTTTCTCTTAGATTTTATGTGACAGGCCAAGACAAAGCAGGAAGGATGCACAGTTTTTAAGAATTACATATATGTTAATAAAACATTACTAGTCATTCAGAAGTGCCTAAACGCTTGTTCTCACCAAGCTCCTCCTTAAATTTTCAGTTTCCAGTCGAGGCTCCTCCTCACAGAGCTCGACTCGTCCACTCAGCTCCTCCAGACTAGCGGCAGCAGCAGTGAGCAGTCACCTGTTGGATCTGAATATCTACGGAGCTCATCATAGGAACTACTTTTCACTTCAAAGCTCCTGAAAACGGTTTTAACGGCATCATGGAGAAACGTGGTGATGACGCTCCGAAGGTTGGAAAGAGCACAAGAGCACTTCTTAAAGAGACAGAGGCCAATTTCAAGGTGTTAAATTGCGAAATCAAATTTCTTTTAAGTCATGTTTGATATATATACAGGATTTTTATAACAAACAGGTGACATGGTCACTTGATGGTGCTATAAAATGACATTATATGCCTGGAAAATACATAATGCCGCCCCTTTAATTAAAATCAAGTGCATCCAACTGTCTTCAGAAGTCATCAGCATAGTAAACAGCACAGAATACAGCTGTTGTTTGAAGGTCTAAGAGGGTTTTTACAGCAGGCGGGTAAGTGATGAACTTGCAAAGAAATTTAAATCAAGATTTGGACATAAAACAACATCGTACATCTCAAGGTGCCCTATTCAAACTATTATCTGAAAATGTAACTATTGTAAATCTACCTGGATTCTATCCTCACCTAAACTATCAGAGTGTGCAACAGGAACATCCGTCAGAGAAACCGGCAAGAGGCACATGGTAACTCTGGAGGAGCTGTGCAGAGTCACCACTTGAGTAAGATAATGACATAATGCTCATGTACAGATCCAGTTGCAGCAGAAAGCTAACACTTCACATCAGCCAGAACACACCACTCCCATTGTAAAACATGGTGGGTGGCAGGATTGCGGTGCCGAGATGGTTTTGTTTAACAGGGACAGGGAAGTTGATGGGAAGCTAGCTGAGGCTCAGTGCAGAATAGTCCTGGAAGAAAACCTAATACAGGGAGCAAATTACCCATGACTGGGTTAGAGGTTCACTTTACAGCCAGAGTTTGATTGATTCTGTTTATAAATATTTATGCCTTTATTAATCTGTAGAAGTAAAGAAAGCAAAACTAGGGTGGGTTATATATATGTATATATATATAAAAAAAACAAAACAACGGCTGGAGTATTCGGTCATCAGTCCAAACTGTGTTTCCACAAAGTAAAACTGTAAGCAAATATTTGGAGGAGGTCAAGAAGAGAGGAAGAGATGATTATAGGGTGAGATTAAGAAAAAAAACAAGAAAAGGAGAGAGCTGGAGAAACAGAAAAGGTCTTGAACCTCAAGTTCTGCTGTTGCTGGCATCTTCTCAAAGGCTTACTGTAACACATGGGGCCAGGCAAACAGGGCCACAATCCCTTTCACCGCCACATGCAGCTCAGCTGTAGACGTCAGCCCAGGCCAATCACAGCTATGTGAACCAAGACTTCCCAAAGGCCCTTTCATCTAAAACATCAAGTTTCACTCTGCAGAGCTCACACCCTCTGAATTTCAACTCCTGAATGAGGCTCTTTTGCTATTCAGCCCGACGACATTTGCATTCACCGTTGACCATGTTTGTCTCACTTAGCCGGTACTTTAGAGAGTCCTAATCAGTGGAGGATTAGGTAAAATCACAACTTTCGTTTCAGACTTACTAAGAGACCACACAGGAGGGCAAGAGACAGAAAAATGGAAGATGAGGGTGTGGGATGGCATGCAGGAAATGGTGGGGGAATATTGCTCCTATTGACCACAGAGCAAAGCCACAAGGTAGCTGCACCGGTCTTGTTCACCCAGCACACTTACTTTCCCGCTAACTTCATGTGTCTGACTGCTGGGGTTTATGTAAAGTTTATTATGAGAGCTCAGAGTTTGGCTCGACCCCTTCGTCCAGCGTTACCCAATCTGTGTTGGTGGTTTTTATGTGCACGCAAACTTGGATGGAGTGAATGTTTGAGTTAAGCTTCAAAAATGTCCCTGCAAACTATTAATCAGAGCAGTGCAAAAGGAGAAATGTCAGGGAAATAATAACTGATCATATCAGGTGTGGAAAAGCTGCTGTCGTCACGCATCCATTGACTTGTTTTGAGGGTGACAGATAAGGGGTTAAACACTCATCAGCTTACGTGTTTTTATTAGCAGTCTGTCTGACTTTCCACAGCGGTAACCCTTGCGTTGATGCATATTTTTGATGTTCCAGGTGTGTGTCGGTACGCTCTGGGGATGTCGAGTAGGCAGATATCGGATGAGGACATCTCTGCCTCCAGTCAGTGGTCTGAATCTACCGCTGCCAGATACGGCAGGTACATCTTACACACACACGCTCAGACACGTGTTTCTTAGCATGATAACGAATGCAACTTGTCCAGCAAGGTGCCTGTGCCTGAGTATGAGACATAAACCACAAACCGGGGTACCGGTTCTGCTCACAGATGTGGTATTAGGAGAGCACGCGTGGGGGGATGTATGCTAGAGCTGCATGCCATAGAACTTGGGTGGCCTTCACTAAGTATCGGGATCTTGATGTCATACACTTTCCGCCTCAACTCTGGGTTGAATTTCTGCCTTGGTACCCTTCTCCCTTCCCAGCCCCTTCCCCTAAATTAGCATTTGAACGATTTACGACGCAGCCTTTCACCAGAACGTCTATTTTACAACCGGCTTTAAGAGCTCAAATCCTCCACTCCACCCACTTTTACATTTCTTTCCACGTTTCCTCTTCATCCTGCCGTTTTTTCCCCCCCTCTACATCCTCCATTCATTGGCTCCCTCTTCTTCCCACGTTTTCAAATCGCTTGTCTTTACCTCCAAGGTTGGACGGTGAGGAGGGAGATGGCGCGTGGTGTCCGGAGATAACTGGTGAGCCAGACCACCTGAAGGAGTTCCTCCAGATTGACTTGCGTTCGCTCCACTTCATCACCCTTGTGGGCACCCAGGGCCGTCACGCTGGAGGAATGGGCAACGAGTTTGCCCAGATGTACAAGATTAAGTACAGTCGTGATGGCAGTCGCTGGATCTCATGGAGGAACAGGCAGGGGAAACAGGTAACTCCACCTGCTGGCGAGAAGTCGAAGATGATATGATATGAGTTGACCCTTCTAGCCAGTAGTTAGGCGAGCTGCACTGACTTTATGACTTTAAGTAAGGTAACCCTGGACTTTGACTGGACCACATGGATAGGGTTGTGTTTATGGTTGTTGCCCTGCTGGACAAGGAAAATTTGCCAAGATTTTCTGTCTGTCAGGTTTCCTCATTGAATGCCCTGAATTTAACTCGGTGCACCTTATCCCTGCTGAAGCATCCTCACAGTATGATGGTGCCACCACCACATTTCACCTTGACACATAGCATTTTGGGTTTAATCGGGGGATTAAATAGCACAAAGAGTGACTACTTGAGGCAACCAGTCTTTAATGGATTTTACCGTAGGGTTTCAGAGTAACAAGGGAGCAGGATGAAAGAAGGGTAAAAATAGATCAATGTCTCACTTTTGAGTTTCTTTTTTTATTTTAAAAGTGTGACATTCACCTCATCAGAACTTTGAACTTTGTGCTGGCCCGTGAGATGCATTTTCATTAATCTAGGCCGAAAGTTGTGATTTTTTCCAAAAATATTTAATGGTGATGTACTCACATTTTGCACATTTATGATTTTTGCACATTTATGATTTCTACTGCTTCTAAAAACAACCCAAGCACTTAAAAAATCTGCCCAGCTAGTTTTTGGCAATAAGTTAATTTTTTTGGTGTCTGAAAAATTACCCGTTTCCAAAACGAATGTAATGTCACAAATCAGCAGACACGGCCCCTCACCTAGCAACCCCAGTGGCGTTCAGCCCGTCACCTAGCAACCCAAGCGGAGCTCCAGCCCATTCGGTCAGCTAGACTTACTGCTGTACAATGGCTGCTGGAAAAGACAAGTGGTTTGTTGATGACTCCAAAAATCACTTGCTGCACTCTTGTTGGTTGTGCAGGAGGTCTGCGTCTCAAAGATGTACGGTTGCGTAATTGCGCATCTGTTTGCAGCCATTTTCACATGCGAGTGGAAATGTTGACGTGGCCAGCAGCAGCTTATTTGAATTTAAAGTGATAAGAGGCCCCAAAATGTCTGATTCTGAAAGGAGCTCAAAGTAGACAGAAGTGAGGAGACGAAAATCTCGTTATCTAAGAATGATTTTGTGCAAAACATTTAAAATAATAATAATGTAATGAACATGTTTTGTGTAGCCCATAGGCCCTTCCTAACCTGTTTAAGGAAGTATTATAGGTCACCTTCAAGAGGTGGTTAAACTTTTGCTAGGCATTAGTCAATAAGTGACTTATTATTGAGCTTTATTATTTTATGCTTTATTATTGGGATAAAATTCTTACAAAAACAATATAATGACGATCAGATATCAGTTAGTCTGATCTTGATGTCATAAAATGTTTGCTTCGTCTGCAGGTGATTGAGGGCAACAGGAACACGTACGACATCGCACTCCGGGACATGCAGCCACCCATCATCGCTCGTCTGGTCCGCTTCATGCCCGTCATAGACCACTCCATGAACGTCTGCATGAGAGTGGAGCTCTACGGCTGCGAGTGGCTCGGTGAGTTTGAGTTCAAGCACAGAGAGAAACACATTAGGATGCATTTCAAGAAGCGCAATCTCTTAAGGATGATTGTAAAACAGCGAAAGCAACACTAACCTTTGAGCCTCTTGCGAAAGGGAGGAACAGCTGATTTCCAGTTACCATTGCATAACAACGCGCTGCGTAAACTCTAATCCAGTAGAGAAGATAAGGATATTATGATAATATAGCATCTGACTTTATGGAATGTAACGTCTGTCCCCAAACTATAAATTCATACTTACTGATGTCCCGTTAAGTCTGGTTTCTGTTGTGCAAAGAAGAAAAGCTGCGTTTGATGAAAGAGGTGACGATGTTCATTTCACGCTTTCTTTCCCTAAACCGGGCCCACATTCTTTGATAAATGAAACTCCGCAGGCTGCAAACAAGTTGTCAGTCTGTGGAAAGGACTTTGTTTAAGCTGTTTAAGCCATTTTCCGTTCTCTTTTCCGACGTAGCATAAATATTTTCCATCTCCTTGTTCTGTTTTCTGTTGCTTTGGTAAGTTTTGTTTGAAATTCTCAAAATGGCCTTTTTTTTTCATACATCCTACCTGCATCTTGGTGCATTTGTTACCATGGTGACCTTAAACTGTAGAGTTTAAAACAAACTTTGTGGCTTTCTGAACAATGTCAATAAAATCCCCACAACTGAAGGGCAAGTTGTCATTTCTTCCCAGATGGCCTGGTTTCATACAACGCTCCTGCAGGACAACAGATGAACCTTCCTGCTTATCCTGTTTACCTCAACGACTCGGTCTACGATGGAGCCGTCATCTACAGGTGAAAAGTGCTTTTCCTCCTCATCTTTTGCTTCCTGCGCTAGTTTGATGTAGCTCTCATCACTAATAATCGCTGCTTTTCCTCCTCACCATGTTAATTCGCGTTGCCATGGTAAAAACAAAGAAACAGAGCGTTGTGACCAAGTGGGTTGGGGTGTTTTATTGTTAGGCAAAACCTCCCAGGAATAACTGAGTCAACAGGACCGAATAACTTTAAGACCCAGAATGGACCAATCAGGGCTTTTGTTATGTTTGGATTATAGGGTGAATAATGTCCCCCGTGACACTGAAACACTCTGTTACAGAAACAGTGGAGGAGGAAAGCAGCAAAAATGAGGAATAATAGAAAATCTGACAAATACCTGGAACAGAATGGGTTTTGTTTGGTAATGCTGCCACCTAGTGTTCGGAATGAATTACAGTTTATATATGAGCCAATTTGTTGAAGCGCTGATGAAATCAAACAAGATTAAAGTTGCATTAGGTAACTTTTTATGAAAATGCTTCTTTTATATTTGTTTTGGTCTTTACAAGCATGTAAAAATCATCTTCATAAAAAGTGCAGCTTTAGAACAAGAATACAAATTAACATAAAATATTATGTATGGGAGACCATTCAGTGCGGTGAAAAAAGTATTTATCCCCTTTATAGATTTCTTTATTATATTTTTATTTTCATTTTTTTCGGTCACATTTATGCTTCAGATCGCCAAACAAATTTTAATAGCAGACAAACTTAGTCAACACAAAATGCAGATTTAAAATAAAACTTTATGTATTGAGTTTTCAAAAGTTATCCAAACCATACCTTGTTCTAAGTGAAAAAGAGACAACCTTTCTTGTATTATTGGATTAAATGTAATTAGGAACATTTCTTGATTAGTAGAAATTAACTCTACTTCAAACAGAACCCGTCTGACAGCATGAAGAAGGCTAAAAGTATCAGGCCTTGACCACAGATGGATATGTCTCCCATCACTGCGGTTCAGCTTCCTGGTGGTGAAAACCACAGATGCTGTGCTTTTCTAAAAAATAAAACAACAAAAGTTTACTGTTTTGTTTGTGTAACCATGGTGAACAGAATCATGACCGGTTTTGTGATTAGCAACTGTGTAAATAACAAACAGGGACGTTTCATTAAAGGACTTAACAAGGAGTTTAATATAATCTTCAAAAGACTGAAAATGCGTCTGACTGGAGTTCATTGGCTCCAGTCAGATTTCATCCCTTTTTACAGATTTGCTTCTGTGTTTCTCAGTATGACAGAGGGCTTAGGCCAGCTGACCGACGGCGTCTGTGGAGAAGACGATTTCACTCTCAGCCACGTCCACAACGGATGGCCCGGGTACGACTACGTAGGCTGGAACAACGACAGCTTCCCCGGTGGATCCGTCGAGATCATGTTTGAGTTTGACCGCATACGAAACTTCACCTCCATGAAGGTGAGAATCCCGAGCCGACGCGGCGGCGGCGGCGTTACAGTCCTTGGCGTCGTTCTCCGTCATCACAGAGAATACCCCCGTGTGCGCAGGTGCACTGCAACAACATGTTCTCCCGGCACGTCAAGGCCTTCCAGCAGGTGGTCTGCCACTTCCGCTCCGACTCCGACTGGGAGACGACGCCGCTCGCCTTCAGCCCCGTGGAGGACGAGAAGAATCCCAGCGCCCGCTTCATCACCGTCAAGCTGGCCAACCACATGGCCAGCGCCATCAAGTGCCAGTTCTACTTTGCTGACGCCTGGATGCTGTTCAGCGAGATCACCTTCCAGTCAGGTACTTGGTGCGGAGCTGATTTGGTGCTGGAGGGAAGTTGTTGAGACGAGTTTTCAGCCTAAATAACGATTGGTGAACCTTTTTCAGATACAGCCATGTACAACACAACACCGCCTTCCACACCTAAGCCAGGTGAGGAACTACGTCTCACATACGCATGCAATGCTTGGTTAATAAAATGTGAGCAACACCTTCAGTGATTTCTTTAAATTGGTTCCTGCTAAAATTGGAAATAGTGTTTGTATAAAAAGGTTTTTTTTAATCTATGTTATTTTTGTTATTTGTGATATATTCAACTAGAGAAATTCAAACTTTTTTTGTGTGTTTTTTTCCTTTGATCGCAAAAAACAAAATTTAGAATAAGTGGGACTCTCCATGAAATATGCTTCCTTAAGAGAGGTTCAGCTATCCATATCTAATCTCTTTTTTTATTTGATGAAAACTTAACCGTGTATTACTCATTAAACGGAATGAACTAAAATATTTTTTTCTAGCTAGGAAAAAGTGAGGACATTGTGCACTAAAAAGTAATGGCATCCTCTTTGGTTGAAATAACTTCAATCAGAAACACAACAAGCTAAATATCTAAGGTTCTAACAACTTAAACCTCCAAAGTGTTGGGTTTTAATCTTCATTATTTGCAACTAATGTCACACATCTTTGTGTTTTATTTAGTGGTTTTAAGTTGTAGTAGATCTGGCGATGTCTTAATTTAATCCTTTCAAAAATTACAACTTTTATTTTAATTTATAGAAAAAACCAACATGATATATATAGATTTTGTTTATTTATATGATTTGAACACCTCAACACTGTGAAATTTATACTAAATGTTAATATGTCAGGTTATGTCTCCAATGGCATTAGCGGTTATGGAGAAACCAAATGCAGGCAAGGGGAGGCAGAACAGATGTGAAGCAAAAATAAAACTGTTTAATAGTAAAAGGGAGCTTAAAAAAATCAAATTAAAGTCCACAAATCGGAAAAGGCTAAAGATAGTTAAAGTAATCAAATCCCAGAGCACAGATGGTGTGTAGACTCTACAGACGTCCAGACTTCAAATGACCTTCAGATTATCGCATTGCCACTGTAAAGTGTGCGTCCCCTTAAAAACACTCCTAAAACCTGTGGAAAACCTTTCCAGAAGAACTAAAGCTGGTACGTCTGGAAACTGTGGACTGCCTTGTGTTTCTAAACTCCATGGATTGAGAATGGGACGTCACCAAATATGTTTGGTGAAACACTGTGGCTCCATGTCAGTTTTGACCTTTTTCACAATAAATAAATAAATAAATAAATAAATAAATAAATAAATACCTGGTTTGTTATGATGCAGGCAAAGCGATATCTCAGCTGGTTTAAAACATGAACGATGAAATGTCTGTTTGATGCTCACACACTTGTGTCTTTTCTTAAAATTCTCATGTAACCGGGAAGCGCATGAAACTAAAGTCTCTTTTTAAAATCTTTAAAAGGCACCTCTCCTCCTCCCTCACCAGAAGATGACCCAACCCATAAAGTAGATGACAGCAACACTCGCATTCTGATTGGCTGTTTGGTGGCCATCATATTCATCCTTGTTGCCATCATTGTCATAATTTTGTGGAGACAGGTGTGGCAGAAGATGCTGGAGAAGGTGAACGCCTCCCTTTCTTTTTTTTTTTTTTTTTTTATTGACCCAACTAACAAACACTGCGTAATCTTACGCATTTCCAGTTTTGCCTCTCGGAGACGGTCAGATCTGCTCCCTGACACGCGTGCTTTATTCCAGGCCTCTCGTCGGATCCTGGACGACGAACTGACTGCTAGCTTGTCGATACAGAGCGAGACGTTCAGCTACAATCACACCAGCAACCGGCCGGGCACAGCCGGCGAACAGGAGTCTAACTCCACCTATGAGCGCATCTTCCCTCTGGGTCCAGACTACCAGGAGCCGTCGCGCCTCATATGTAAGCTGCCGGAGTTTCCACAGAACTCAGAGGAGCCTGGTAAGCCAGCAAATCTGCTCACACACACATGGATATTAACACACAGTGTTTTTTTTTTTGTTTGTTTTTTTAAAGGTGTTTCCTCAGGAACTTGCTAATTGCAAATTGGAAGTAAAAGCAAGCAGTTTTGATTCTTTTTTGCAAATGAAAATGCTAAAAGTATGGCATACATTTCTGTTCAGCCTCTCCTGAGTTAAAAGTAATTATAACCACAATTCACTGGGTCTCTCTACCACTTTTGCAATACCAATCACTGACATTTTGTCAACTGTATTTAAGTTTGGACTTTGACTGGGTCGTTCTCACATGCTAATCTTCTTTCAATTGATTATTTCCATTGTAGCTATGGTTTATTTATAGGCTCATTATCCCTCCAGGCCGGGTCTTTTGTAGCCTCTCACATGGTTTCTTCCAGCCCTATTTTTAGCTCCATCTGTAATACCATAAATTCAGAGCAGCTTCCCCGTCCCTGCTGAAAAGAAACATCCCCACAGCATGATGCCGCTGTGGGAGAAGGTCAACTTCGTCCACATGTTTGCTGTCTACCCTTTATGACTTGTAGGAAACAGGACTTCTTCTTGTGCCTCTCTTATCCTCTCTTTCATAAAAGGCAAATTTTGCTTCCTAACTTAACCCTGCTTTAAGCAACACTGACCTGTCTGTTGTGTTTCTTGGTCTTTATGATGCTATTTGTCCACTAAACACTCTTTTAAAAAAAAAAACACGGAGACCTTTATATTAAACTGAGATGAAACCACACATAGCAGTACTGTATTTATCAATGAATTGACAAATGGTTGCAGGGGATTTTATTTTAACCATATGCAACTTTGATCAAAAATATGCTTAACATGTTTGTTAAGCATATTTTTCTCATGGCTCTGATTGGCTCTTTCTAGTTAGCACAGAGAGAAGGCAGAAGAGCTTGTTTTTTATGTGAAATATGGAAATAAAAAATCATTCTTTTTCATAAAAGTTACATACTGCAGCTTCAAAGGCGCTGGACAAAAATGTACACCACACTTTTCAGATTTTAAGATGTAATATATGTATGCAAAATACTTCAATCATACTTCACAAAAAAAAAAGTGTGATGTATTTGTTACATTCCAATCAAATACATTAAAGTTGGTGGTTATAACGCGAAAAGGTTCAAATATTTTCCCGTGAGAAAACAGCGTCCGTCCAGTTGAGGTTTCAGCTGCTGTGTCTCACGATGTGTTGCAGCTTCGGCCGCCTCTGCAGCTTCAAAGTCCACAACTCAAACTGTGGTGCAGGACGGCGCCCCCCACTACGCAGAGGCAGACATCGTCAACTTGCAAGGCGTCACCGGAGGTAACACGTATGCCATCCCCGCGGTGACGATGGACCTGTTGTCCGGGAAGGACGTCGTCGTGGAGGAGTTCCCGCGAAAGCTGCTCACATTTAAGGAGAAGCTGGGAGAGGGCCAGTTTGGAGAGGTGCGAGTTCTCTACTTTCCTTCACTTAGAAAACAAAAGCACGAGCAAATGTTAAACCCCTTAATTGTTTTGTTGTTGTTTTTTTTTTAAACCCTTTGCTGGTTCAGGTGCATCTTTGTGAAGCAGAGGGAATGCAGGAGTTTATAAATGAAGACTACTTGTTTGACGTCCCAGAGGGCCAGCCGGTGCTAGTGGCTGTGAAGATGCTCCGTTCAGATGCCAACAAGAATGCGAGGTGTGCTGCCGTCCTTGCAGGAGCTGGAAATATAACGACAAATAAAAGCAAGCATGAGGTTACGATTCACCTGATTCATATGAAAAATAAACTTAAGCAACTTGCGCGAACTTTTTCTGTGTGGACAGGAATGACTTCCTGAAAGAGATAAAGATCATGTCGCGTCTGAAGGACCCCAACATCATTCGCCTGCTGGCCGTGTGCATCTACAGCGACCCGCTCTGCATGATCACAGAGTACATGGAAAATGGAGACCTCAACCAGTTCCTGTCCCGCCACGAACCCGAGGGACAACTCGCTCTCCTCAGCAACGCATCTACTGTCAGGTCAGCCAGCGACCGTCGCATTTCACTTGCAGTTTTGTCTTCCCACCACATGGTGACGTCTCTCGTCTCCCCTTCAGCTTTGGTGATCTGTGCTACATGGCCACCCAGATAGCCTCGGGGATGAAGTACCTCTCCTCCCTGAACTTTGTCCATCGAGACTTGGCCACACGGAACTGCTTGGTGGGGAAAAACTACACGATAAAGATAGCTGACTTCGGCATGAGCAGAAACTTGTACAGCGGCGACTACTACCGCATCCAGGGCAGAGCGGTGCTGCCCATACGCTGGATGTCATGGGAGAGCATCCTGCTGGTGAGGGCCACACAAGTTCTCAGTTTCACTGCTTGAGTGGAAGAAATTTTGCTACTGGTCAAATATTACTCTTGTAAAAGTAAAAATAGCTCTGTCAAGTTACTATCTAAATTGGAGCATTGTCGTATGTGCTTTAAGTATTTAAAAATTTGAATATTTTGACACTAGAGCGTAGTGGTATTCTTGACAGATCCCAGATCATCAATAATAATGCAGGAGTCTTACATTTTTCTAGCTTTTTTGGATGCTCAAAGACACTTAGCAGTTTTATGTATTATTCATTCACGTCATAAGGCAACACCACTAGGACAAAAAGGGTCCTTCTTCTTCTTGCGACAGGTTTAAAGCTGCACATTTCCACCCACCACGTAGGGGTGCTGTGTGTAAATTTACTGCGTGTCAGAGTAACAAAATAGATACTACGCAATAAGATCAACATGAAGAAGTAACTCGATGGAAATGTAATGAAGCAAAAAAAATACAATTCTGCAGAAAAATATAATGGAGTGAAAGTATTAAGTTTTCCACAAAAATTCTTCTCAAGTAAAGTACAAGTTTTCAAAAGCTGTACTTAAGTGCTGTACTCAAGTAAATCCGCTTTGCTACTGCTCACCGCTTACAACACAGCGTGTCTGTTTGTGCAGGGTAAGTTCACCACGGCGAGTGACGTCTGGGCCTACGCCGTGACACTGTGGGAGATCCTGAACTTCTGCAAGGAGCAGCCGTACTCCCAGCTCACCGACGAGCAGGTGATAGAAAACACGGGGGAGTTTTTCAGGGACCAGAAGCGGCAGGTGAGGGCGACTAAACGGTTTTAATTTCACGAGTGGGATAAAATAATTTGGCGATGTATTTCATGTCTCGCCCTTGGATCTCGCAGATCTACTTGCCTCAACCTGTGCTGTGTCCGGACTCGCTCTACAAGATCATGCTGAACTGCTGGAGGAGGAACGCCAAGGAGCGGCCCTCCTTCCAGGAATTACACAGAGCCCTGTTGGATTTACAGCCTTAAGCCTGCGTAGTGTTCAAGACACTTTAGAGTCTACGCGCATCTCTGGAGACAAGGGATGCCGCAGACACAGTCCAGGTTTAAGCTACGCTCCTATTCAACAGAGAGACGGGATGGGAGGCCACCTGCTGGCTCCAAGCTACATTTTCGGGGACTGAATACTCTCTCTAAAGGTTGATCTGTATTCCAGTTAATGCAAAAGTTTTATTTTTATGAAGCATAAATTTAGACAAAGTACTTTATCACAGTTTGAAAAGAGAGGCACGACCTGTCGGGTGGGTGTGGAGGGAACCAACATTTAAATGTAGCAAGAGACATTTGGCACTTTTAAAACTAAACACTAAAAGTAGGGACGCTTGTGTCTGGACATTTCTTTCTTTGTTGCAGAATTGTTCTTGGAAAAAAAAAAACAAAAAAAAAACAAAACAATCTCATACCTGTTTATGTCCTCTACAGTGGTGCCACATCTGAAAGGAAAACACATTTATGGCCAAAGTCACCAAAATAACCACATCGTCCAATTTAAGACATGACAAGGACGTGCCAGGATGCTTCAGTGGCAACATGTCTTGTTTTTTTCAAACCTCCATTCTCCAATCCAATAGATAACAAAATATACTGAAGGGAAGATTTAACTTGTTTTTTTTTTTGTTTGTTTTGTTTTTGTCTTTTTCAAAGTTCAATCCCACAAATTCATAATTCTTACAAATGTGGCCCCCATTTGAGGTGAAATAAACAGGCAATGGAGTAAAATAAGATTTGCAGCCAATGTTCCAGCATTTTTACAAGAAAGCAACAATCGGCCAGACATGAATTTCCTCACTGTTTCTGTTTGGTTTATGTGTAAATCCAATGTGTAATAAGTGGTTTATCTATCCCATGTTACAGTGTTGTTTGAAATACTGCTTTCTTTATCTTTTCTTTTGGAAGACTGCTTGAATGTAGAAAGGGAAAGTGCAGAGCCAACGGTTACTTTCATATTTTATTATATTTTAATAGTTTCATCGTGTTCAGAAAACTTTATAAGTAAAAATAACAATGAGTGCATTTTTTTTCACCTCCCTGCCATTTTCCTGAAGTAGTTTTTTACAAGTGTACATGACTGTGTATGTCCGATAGACATGTTTAAATTTCATGTATCTTTTTTTTTTTTTGTATCAGTATTTATATATTGACTTGTGTTTATGACTTGTTTATAGATGTGCGTAAGAGTATGCGCTCAAACCAGAGCGTCACATTTGGTTTATTGCAGCATTTCTTCTTCTTTGATTTGTGTATGTTTTCTTTCTGTTGCAAAATCTTTAGCGACATCCTTTTGTCTGCCGTTGAATATGCTTTGAAGAAATCCCATTGGAACTTCGTGCCGGGTCGTTGTCACGTGCCGTGTGTTGATTCAAAGCGCGTGTGTGTGTGTGTAGCAGGTGTGATTAGAGAGACGTTGGTAAGTGTTTTCTGCAGGGATCCTAGGCAGTCAGGAAAAGAGAAAAGTTTGATCTAAGTATTTTCCAGAGGAAAGGCATGAAAAGGAAAACTCCTTGGGACATCCATCCATTCTTTTTACAAACACAGAAAAGGGTCACAAGTGGAGAAAGGTAGGAAAATATCATGAAAGATTTACAATAACTCTAGTTCTAGATGTCTATAGCTCTTTCTTGTTGTCAATGAAGCAGAAAAAATTTGGAGTTTCACCATAACAATGAATTTTCTTGGATGGTTGGAAAGGGTACGGTCGATGAAGATCAATTTTAAATACATTAGTTTAGAGCTCATCTTTTACTGGTGCGTCTGGACTTCGTGCTGCATTTGTCTCATTGTTTTTCTCTACTTGTTCTTGCTTTATGTTTTTAACTTTAAACACAAGCCCCAGTCGTCTCACCCGGACCGTGAAAGACAAATGCGTTTCTTTTTCTGCTTAGCAGGGTAAAAAGATAAAAGATATCGAGCTCAGGTTCAAATTGATACACGTTTATGAGTTTCATTGCATTCATTCTCCTTTCAATATTGTTACAAGTGCAAATAAAAACTATGCAAAAACATCTGAATAAAGTACTAGTTTCTTTCATTTTTAGGATATTTTTGTCTGAAAATGGTTGCATTTCTGCAAAATTTTGTCATAGATAGATAGATAGATAGATAGATAGATAGATAGATAGATATGTTGTAAACAAAAGTTAGACCTTGATGGCGACAACCCAAATAAAAGTCCTAACATGTACTCTTTGTCATGGTCAGGACTCTTTGTTTTGCTCCTGTGATCCAATTTTTCAGTGTCTGGAGTGGGCGGGACCTTTGCGGCTGGGCTGAGGCGTAATAAGATCTTATTGGCTGGAGTGCTGCCACAGGATCCAATCAGAACGTGGGGGGTGGAGTTAAACTGTGACTCCACAGAAGAGGAAACCAGTTCCTGAACCAGACACGCAACCTTTTCACTCCAGTTCTCCTGTCGCGCTACAGGTTTTGGCTTTACCAAGATGAAAAAGGTGGTTTTGGTGACTGGAGCGAACAGGTAACAACCCAGTTTATAACCTCTATTATGAGAAGCCCCGTGCTTGACGATACCAATTAAAAGTTCAATCATTTCAGGCAGAATAATGAATTGTTTCATTAAAGATTGATTATATCAGCTGTGTTGTCATTTTTAGTTAGATGTGTACTGATCTTGTTTTTTGTGGCCACTTTCTTTTCTTCCTTTAACCCTTCTGTTATGTTGTTGCGGGTCAAATTGACCCGTTTTAAAGTTTAAAAATGTTTTAAAAATAGTTGGAAGTATTTTATTTATTTTTTGCATAAAACCTTTTTCTATTTGTCTTAATAGATTAACTCTACATATAAATTGAAAATTTATTCATTTTACACATTTGTAACCCCCCCCCTGCGTCTACTTGTTACATTGATACTGCTTGGGTCAATTTGTAAAAAAAAAAAAAAAAAAAAAAAAAAAAAAAAAGCTTTTGCTGAGGAATTTTTTTTTTTTTTTGGCGACATTTTTTTGAGGGGTAGAAA